TCATGTCTCATAGTGGGGCTGGCCATGTGGTCCTCAAGGCCTGGTGGGCCAGGATGTCCTCCAATCTCTCCTCCTCCCCCATAATCTGCTCCTGTGTGCTCCGATCAGATATGTCCCTCTCCCGGAGCTGCGGATTCAGTGCCGTCCTTTGAAATAAATTCTTCTGAGGGGAGGGCCAGGTATCCACTTAGTATTTGGGACTGGGGGCAGCCCCGCCAGACCTCTCCACTAGTTCCCTACTCCGCGCTGGCATGTTGAATTCACACCTTGGAGCACTGGGTTGAAGTCTGGTCCCTCTTTTCCTGTGGAGGTATAAACAGTACCCTCCCCTTCGGTGGGTTAGCGCCCCGTGCCCCCACTACCCATTTCTTCCTTATTTTCATCATTTTTTTTTTTTGTTTCCTTTCCCCACCTCCTCCCCAGTTGTCTACCATGTGCATCCCTGCATTTGATCTGGTCCCTGCCATACTACCTGGTGCTCACTCCAAGAATGTTTGTATACAGTAGCTTTTTCCCTATGCCCCTTTGCATTTTTTTTTTTTTGACGCTTACCTCAGCGGACTCATGTTGTACTTGTCCTTTTGTGCCTGACTTACTGTGGAAGAAACTCTTCTGCTCTCTAGCTCCCTTTTCTTTTTGAACCTCTACTCCCTTCTCTTTCATCATTTGATATTTAAATACTTATTGTGTGCTGCCAGCCAATACACTACTGAGCATTTGCATCTGCTATTTCATTGTTGCACCCTCCTAACAATGTTAAGAAGTAGTTCATATTTCACCCAGAGTGCCAATAGGAAAACGGAGGCTCAGACTACCTCAGCTTCCTAGAACACAGAGCCACATACAGGAAGTGCCAGAGCTAGAGTTTCAATTTGGATTTGTTTTAAGTAAGAGTAGGCTTAACCACATCATCATTCTGTACCCTTCCTAAATGTTGGAAAACCTGGGATACATAGAAGAGACTCTCCCTGTCATAAAAAGTTTCACAAGGGAGCGTCTCGGTAGCTCTCTATAACTCGTGTATTATAGCTCTTGCTATACTAATACAGGGCATGTCATTATTTTAACTAATCCTTATAGATAGGCAATAAGGAAAGAGTACGGTTTATTCCCTAGTTGTGCTGAAATCATGTCCTCTAGTAGCATAAGCAGGTGTATGTAGATATTAATAACAGTTGTGATCAGGGTCCCATGTGGCATAGAGATTTTCCAAATGCTGGCATTAATTCAGAAGCCTGGGCTCAGCAGTTTTTTTTGTTTGTTTGTTTTTACTGTGAATAGTAGTAATTCTGGTATTCAGTTATTCATCCTGTGACCGCCTCTGATGAGCCCTGGGTGGTTAGTTCTCAGTACTGGTGAATATCAGAATTGGTTGTATATCTGTTCATTATACACTGGCAACCTTTTAGGGACCCTGCCTAGGTGTATCCTGTTGAGTAGCTTTGGGAGAGAAGAGAAGAGCGATTGGAAGCCTATTCTCGGCGGGGAAAAAACTATAAAATCATGAGGGTTCTTTTTGTTTGTTTGTTTTCCTCCTAGTATTGAGCATGCTCCATAAACCATTGGGAAATGTCCTGGGGAAACCCTCATTGAGCTTCCTGCCTCTGGACCCCTTGGGAGCTGACTTGATGGACAAGTTTCCAACACCCACAGTAAGAGGATCCCGCCTGGACACCCGACCCATCTTGGACTCTCGTTCCAGCAGCCCCTCTGATTCAGATACCAGTGGCTTCAGCTCTGGATCAGATCATCTCTCTGATTTGATTGTATGTAACTTGTTCATGGGGTTCTGGTCTGGTGGGAAGGGTACAGTACCTACTTTGGAGCTTGGAATGGGACTGCAGGTCTGCTAGAATGTCCACTAAAAGGTGGGATGAAGGGGGGGAGGAGTGAGTGGAGCTTTTCTTGCTCAACAGAATCAGGGCTCCTTTGTATCTCTTTTTGAACAGTACACTTCATAATGGAACTGAGAGCTCTCCTTTTGCTGTTGGAAAACAGTTCATTTAAAAGTAAATATGGCCATCATGGCAATGTTCTGTTTCTTGACTCAAATGACAATTCCTTTAACTTTAAAACAATATTTATGTACTTTTACTAATTCTGATATTTTAAGTGATAATTTAAAAATCACATGGTTATGAAATAGCAGGGCTAGGGTTTGATCTAGATTGGATGACTTTAGCTCCTTTATTCTTTGTACTGATCCATGCGAACTCTCAATCTGAGGAGATGGTGAATTTATGAAATACTGCCTTAAAGTTCATTTGCATATCTAATGTTCTTATCTACAGTCATATATGACAAATGCAGAGTAGTTGGTAAATGGATTAGAATAGATGTGGGGAAGGAGGTAGTAGAAATAAATATATGTGAGATTGGCAGTAAGAAATTATCCTAAAAGAAGATGCAATTTCAGATAACTTCTGAGCCTGGCTTTTCTATTGTCAAATCCCATTGACTGAATGTTTAATAACTGAAAAGATGGTCTAGCTCATCCTCTTCTCATTCGCATTCAGACAGACAACAGTGGTTGTGATAGCAGTTTTCCATGTAGGGTTCACTTGTTGTCTCCCCTCAGCTGGCCCCAGAATATGAGACCTGGCATTGGTGTTTGGAGTTCCCACTATCCATTGGCTTTGCTGTTGAGATCACATTTCCAGAGGAGAAAACAAAAGCAGGTCCCTTTATTTTTCTGGGCTGCAGCTTATGCCCCTTTAAATGGGGCCAGATGAGGTGCTTCTAGCTATGTTTCTGTTACTCTATATATGACTCAGGCTAGGAAATTCACCTCTACTAACTTTCATGTTCTGGTATTTTTAATAAAGAACTTTCATAGACCCTAACCTCCCCCCCCCAAGGGAACAAATGGGGATGGGACATAAGACAGATAGTAATTCATATAAGAAGTAATAGAGGCAGTATCTAGACTGTCAGAAAATATTCTATCAACTATTTATTCATAATGTGATCTTGTTTTTACCCAATTAAAACCTTAACACAAGCTTGTAGTGGAAGTTGTGTTGTCATACATTTTTAAAATAGAAACAGCATTCTCATACAAAGCATTTTGACACTCCTAGGAACGTGACCAAAGAAAATACAAAATATGAAGAGGCTTAAAATTGTTATCCATAATCCTGGAAAGTACCTAAATGTTCAACAGTAGGGGAATGGGTCAATGGGAGGTAGCTTGTTCCCTAAATAGAATGCCATAAATTAATGTACAACCGCTATGAAGATGTCTTGTAACATGAAAAAAAATTGGAGAGAGAAGAAAAATATGCCACAGTACAGTACAATTAATCTTTAAGATGGATAGAAAGAAAATCTAAAAGGAAGTATGGCAGATGGCAAATGTTCAAGGGTAAGTCAAAAAGTGTTGCTTACTACTAGGACTCCAGTTCACACATGCGCAGGTTCACATATCCCAAACAAAATGTGTTTAAACATGTTTGGGTGATCAGTGGTTAGATGCAGATAAGTTCTCTCAGTAATACACTTGTCTAAGTTTGGTTAGGATACCTTTAAACAAAAAATACACGTAAATATTTTTGTGCCATAAGAGAAAACAAAAACAAAACTCAAGTGGTCATCTTCGAAAAGCCTTGAAGCTATGCAGCAAGTTTACAGCGATCCTGACTCATATAAAAATACTGTTTTAGAGGATCAACCATTTTAAGGAAAGTGAGAAAGACCTCAAGGCAGGATCAAGAGAGGAAGACCATCAACAAATTAAGAAATTGTGGCAGAAGTTCAGAAAGTGGTGGAGGAAACCTGTGGAATTACCATTGACATTATAGTGACAAGTAGAATCTCATGATTCTGCATTGCCCATTTAAGCAAACATAATTGGCTTCAGTTAGCTTTTCACTCAGTCAATGCCAAAAATGTTTCATGAAGGTTAGCTCAAAGAGTTGATCTCTTTTGCCTTTTAAGCAATATCAAAGTTAACGAAGATGATTTTATGGAACAAATAATAACCTGGGACAAATCTTGAATTGACCATTATAATCCAGAGAGAAGGTCCAATCAAAACAGTGGCTTCTAAAAAAAAAAACAAAACAAAAAAAAACAGTGGCTTCTGAGGGGATTTTCTGGGCAGGGAGGTTAGCTCACAAGGGGATAGGGCTAGTTTTGTGGAATCCCAAAGGAGTAATCTTGATAATTTTTTTCCCCAAGGAATATTAGGACCACCATGGGGCATATTAGGAAGGAAGTTTTATGAAAATGTAAAAGGGCATTGGTGAGAAAACTAGGAAAAGTGCACAAATGAACTGGTTTCCATCATGACAATGCACCTACCCATTTTTCAAGAGTAGCAAGAGCTATCCTGTGAGAATTTTCCTGGTAAATTTTACCCCATCCACTGTACAGTCCTGACCTTGCCCCTTCAGACTTTTCCCAAAGCTCAAAGAACACTTAAAAGAAACACAATTTGAGTCCCCCCAGGGATACCAAAACTACCATTTTGATATAGTATAAATCAAGCGCAGGAGTCTTGGAGAAGGGCTAGAGAGATGGAAACACTACCTTCAGAAGTTTATAGACCTATGTGGAGGAGATGTCGAGAGACAATAGCCTCATATTTTTATAATTGTGTTTAGTAAAGGTTTCTATGATTTTTATAGGAATACTTTTGACTTGCCCTTGTATATTAGCATAATAGTATTTCATGTTTTCTATAGTCTCTGAACTTTTTGAAGTCCCCTCATTTTTATATCACAACTGTACTTTAAGAATTTATATCTTCGTTTTTCTTTCTGTAGTCAAGCCTTCGAATTTCCCCTCCTCTTCCCTTCCTGTCTCTGACGAGTGGGTGTCCCAGAGACCCTTTAAAGATGGGGGTTGGGTCCCGGATGGACCAAGATCAAGCTGCTCTTGCTGCCGTCACACCCTCCCCAACCAGTGCATCAAAGAAATGGCCAGGAACATCTGTGTGGCCATCCTGGGACCTTCTTGAAGCTCCTAAAGACCCCTTCAGCATAGAGAGGGAGGCCAGGCTGCACCGGCAAGCTGCAGGTAAGTGTGGCTGTGGCCAGGTATGAGGCTTGGGACCCCATTCTGGAAACAGAAAGTGACCTTAGCACAAACATTGGTGAATTGTCCAGAGACAAGAGAGTTAGTTGTATGGTGAAGGATCCAGATATACAAAGAAAGATGTGGGGCAAACTCAGCAACTTCTTTCAGGTCGAATAGAGGGGAAAGAGGGAAATAATCTGGTGCACAGGAACCCCATAGGAATTTGATTGACCTCTCACTTGGTTATGTGCTGCTGCTACTATTGCTTTTAATTCTTTCACAGGTGGGTATCCTTGAAACAAACGCTGTGATTGATGCCCAGCATCTTGTCTACCTTCCCATTTTCTACTTCAAAAAATATCCTATGCTGGGGTTCTCTTCCCAAAGACTCTGGTACACTCAGAGATGCACCGGGAGGTGGGTAGTTGGCATGTGTCAACTTCTGAGGTAAGGGAAGGAGTATTTGAGTGGCACAAATGGCCCAGCACTAGCTGAAAGATGTTTGGTTTGAACGCATCCAGAAGTCACTTGGACGACAGGCCTGGCAGTCTGCTTCCAACAGGCCGCGGTCTTAAAACCTCTTTGGAGCAGTGCTGCTTTGCACAGCATGGTGTGACTGTGAGTTGAAGTTAACCACAGCAAGGTGTGAGGGATCCTGCAAGTGTACTGTAGTTTTTTTTCCAGCTACCTTAATCACTTAACTGAATTTGTTTTCCATCTTAGTATTTGGAAGTGAGTGAATTAGGGAACCCATTGTCTATTGCTTCAGGGAGATCACCCTTGTTTTGAAGTTCTGAGGTTGATGGATGACTAAGGGTTCAGTTTCTCCATTTCGTTTGTTTCCATAGATATTGGTATGCCTCTCTCTGTGCTCACAGAATCTGTCCTGATCTCAATCTCCCCTGAGACTGCAGCTACCCTGTTCACTAATGGCCGTGTACTGTCTCTAGTGCCAGTGTTGTCCTAAGAAACATTACCAGGCTTTTGGATGAGGCAATTATAAAAACTTCTGATTTTGTTTGAAGATTATTGCTGACAGTACTCACTTTCTTGATATAGCAACACAATCAGTTTAAGCCTTTTAGGGATTGACTTTTCAGATCCTGGCCTTGATTTAAAATGATAGTTTATTTCACTGGCTATCTGCCTCAGTGCTAAAGGAGGAAGATAGAATGGGCAGAAACAGTCCAGTTTCCTATTAAAGTCAGTCTGATCTGAAAAGGCATAGACTGGCGGTGGGGACATGATTAAAGATTTATAGCAGACTGGAGTGGCCACAAAAACAGGGAGGCCTCTACAGATTATTAAGGGCAGGTCAAAAAGGAAATAGTTCCTAATACCATAGAGGCAGACCCCAAGTTATTCTCTGACAACCCCTATTTGCCCTTTAAGGTTATGTAAATTTGCCTTCATTTTGAAGTGATAGCACCAATCCTCCTGCTCTTAACAAATTTTTCAACATAATCACCTCGTTTGTTGCATGTGCAGGTTTTAAATCATTGAAAAGTCTTCAAGTCTTTTTTTGCACTCATCCCCAAACCACACTCATTGACATCAGGTCCGACTTGTATCAAACCTGTAGGACAGAGTAGAACTCCTTTGATTTTTGAGGCCATAAATCTTTATGGGAGCAAAAAGACCCTCATTGTTCTAACTAGGAGTGGCTGCTGGGTTGGAACAACTGGCCCTTGCAGTTAGGACCTTTGGGTGAGTTCAAACCAACCATCTTTCAGTTGCTGTTAGCAACTCAACTTATAACCCATTATACCACTGAGGCTTGCTCCTTATTTGGTACTAAAGTAAGGCTAAATAAGAACTGTATGCACCTGTACCAGCTACCTTACAAATTCTTAAAGACAGAATTCTGAATGGATCTAGTTTGTAACTTGGAATCTGTATAGGCAAGAGGAGAAAGCACTTAAAACTTGTTTCTTAACATAGTGCTTGAGTCAGTCAGAGAAACGTAACAGTGAGTTTGAATAAACTTTCATTTGGCATGAATAGGTAGCTTGAGTGGTTGAAGGAAAACTCACTATCTTACAAATCTGTCATTAAGGAAGATCTAGTTTCTGTTTAAGTACTATGAGACTATCACAAGGATAGGCCATGGTCTGACTTAAGGAACAGTTGT